TATAAAATGAAATGTACTCGAGCTCTCTACGATGTTTTTTGGTCGAACTATATCAAATTTACGAAAAGCCCAAAACAGGACTTTTTCAAGTCATTCCCCCCCAATGGTCACTGGAGTGACCAAACTATCCTGCACAAACGAGCGTGCGCCTGATCGATCTGTCCATACTATTACCATATTGGAGTCACCAATACTCTATTCCAGTAGTTAATTGATCAGTGGATCCTCTGAAACTGTTGTGGGGGGTAAAGGGTTAAGTCTCTTATGATTCTGCCGAATTTAAAATTTATTTTGTGTTGTAGGTGTATCAGGTTTATACGTCGGTACGTTGTTAGCTCAATCTGGTCATACTGTTGTCATTTATGAGGCAACAAGCTATACACAAATTAAATCAACCTGTGAAGGAGGAGGGATCCGAGGAATATGAGGTTCATTTGTAAAAGCAGTAGGTGAAATACGTGAGAATACTTTGCTCTTTTTCGGGGTTTCCTCGCTTAGTCAAAAATGGGCTGGGCTGAAATGAAGAAAAGTTTACAAATAGACTAAATCAAAGAATTATAAGTCTCCAACAGCAGAAAAAGATAAATAATAAGTCCATCTTGTATGCCGTTTGTTTCTGCCCTTCCGACCGCTGTGGTTCTGGTTTTTCAATCATCCTATATGGTAGTGATAATGAAAAATGAGGCATGTATTGTGCGTATTTAGATTGTTCTATATTATCTAAAATCATGCTGGATAATATATCGGCCCAAACAGGAACAACTCTCATCCCCATCCAGCTGCTTGTAGCAAATTTTTCTGTTGTAATTTGGTACGTAACCATGAATAAAATCATTATTCGTAAAAATGTTGCCAGACAAGTTTTATTATCAAAGTAATAATCAGATGAAATGACTTCTGGCATATTCAAAGCTACCCAGTCAACAACCTTTTTAATTATAAACGGATCTACCACATTCGTTCGCTGTGATGAATAAATTAATGGATTTGATAAATTTTTTATAAAATTTGGTAAAACTGTAATATAATTTGTTGATTGGTCCATTGGAAAGCCCGCATTGTGGATCATTTCCACCACATATAAACTTAGTCGGAATTTTTGTGTTATTTACTTTTAAACGAAAGTAGAATATTGGCACTTCCCATAACGTCAAATTTAGATTGAAATTTAATAATAATGATATATTTTTAGCATATGGGCCAGGTACAAATAGGACTTTATTATTAGCAATTATTGAACCACGATTGGTGATTATTCTTGTAAATGTGTAATTCAAAGTCGAATTATCTACAGACAAAAACTATTCATTTTCACGAATAGTAATATGTTTAGTTTGTATTATAATTTGATAAAGAGCTTTCATCAACGTTGTAACATTAATAAAACCAGATTTGTTATGAAATAAACCTTCATATTGTTGTTGAAATGTAAATGAGGAAAATCTTTGTTTTAATTCACTATTATTCATTCGTAAACAATCCATTTGTAATTGCTGACATGTTTTCTCAATTGATGCTAAATCACCTTCAACTGTATTCTGACCTGCAATAAAATCACCATAAAATAAATAATCATTTTCTGAATTTAATATTGAACCGTAGGATAGATTGGCCATATTTTCTAATTGACGCCATAATGAAAAAGATAAATTAGCTAATTCAGCTAAATATGGTTCATTATACATCTGTCTAAACTGCCGTACATCAAATGCACCGGAGCTACCTTGTGACTCACCTATTTGGTATTGTTCTAGTATAACTATACGCAATGTTGGCTGTTTTAACCAAAGACTAACAGCCGTTGTTAAACCGATGGGTCCCCCACCAATAATTACAACATCAAATGTTTCTTCTTGAATAACTAATGCAGTACGTACTGCTGATAGTAAAGACTCTTCTATCCATCCATGCAATGTACTTGTATGTTCACCCATAAAATGCACATTGAAAACAGATGCTTGTAAATTATCAAAAATATCACTTTCTTGTAACGGTGTAAACAAAGCAAATGCTCCATGCGTATATTCATCATCACACCAATGTTTAATTTTGCCACCTTGAAAATATTTTTGTATTTCAAATGATAAACGATGTATTTCCATGATTTGTTTTAATGCTAAATCTATTGCATTTTGTTCCGATACTGATTGCCATAGCATTGAATCTTGTGACCATGTATAGGAAGCGATTATTGCACCACCACCATCTTGTTCAATTGATTGATCATTAAAATTATAATAATAGATAAAACGTATGGGTAAATCGGTTATTGAACATCCACCATGTATATTTTTGTTATGTAACCATCATGAATAATTAAAAAATAAAATAATTTTTGATGCACAATCATAATGTAATTGTCTCATTGAACGATATTTATCTAGAAAATCTTCTCGTTCATTAAATGCAATTAATTGAGACGATTTAGCTGTTGTAGAAACAATAACAGAGCCATAAACTTCACTTGTATTCGCTTTCCATGTCACAGTAATACTACTTGTTGTTGCCTGATCATATAATTGCAGTTTTGTTATCTCTGTGTTATAGACTATTGAACAACGTTTATTTTCAATTAATAAACATTCTGACTTTAATGATTCAATCAATAAATCATTACCACCTTGAATATGATAAAATAGTGTATCATCATTAATCATTAATCTATCACGTATACCTTCTAGTACTGAAATAAATAAATTTGTTTCGAAATTTAACATTAAAGCCATATAATCAATAGCTGCACGAGATAAACCAATTTCGTTTAAATACGAATCTAAACTATATTTATCCCATTTATTTTCAACAGCCGACCAATCTTCCGTTTCAAATGTATTCAATATGGACTTCATAGCTTCATTCCACAATTCATCAGGATTCTAAAACAGCAAAATATGATATGATCAGAAGACATTTCAGAATTAAATACGATAATATTGATGAACCAATTTTGGGTTATTCGGTATTAAATTAAATAAACTTCAATTTTGTCAATTAAATTTGTCACGTTACATCTCACAGTGATAATCAAATGTATAATTGATTCATTTAGTGTATTTTTCTAGTCAATCGAGATTGGTGCAGTTCCACGCAAATGCCACCGGGTGGTACATGGCTGAAACCCGCCAAGTTCTCACTATACTAATTGTGTAGGCCGTGTCGAATTATGTAGGAATTCATATCTATCGAAAAAACATTTAGCTCTTTTTGAGCGTGAGCGATGACAGAGCTGTTATGTCAATGCCAGTTAAAGAAAGATAATGTCTCGTGAACATAATACATATTGAGCGTGTACAATTTCTATTATCTAGAAACTTTTTTATACTTTATATATATTTTCAATAGCAAATAATTAATTCATCAAATTTAGTTGAAGCGGTGCAATGGAGAGATGAATGGAAAAATTAATTGAGGCCATTTTTTTAACATATAACTTTTAGAGCACTATCGACTGATGTATTCAGAAGAATTTTAAAATACCTAGGAAAACAAAAATTGGGGCGAAAGTTTGCAAGATTTTTGATAAAAGCCGTCTTTTCCAACCTTTTCGGTCGAAAAAGACTACATATTTTTTCGAAGTAGAGATGAATTCCTACATAATTTGATACAGCCTACACAACTAGTATAGTGAGAACTTAGCGGGTTTCAATCAAGTATAACCCGATAGCATCTGCGTGGAACTGCACCATTCTGAGTTGACTAGAAAAATACACTGAATGAATTAACTCTACATTTGATCATCATTTTGAGATGTGACTTAACGGATTTAGTTTGATTGAAGCTTGATTTATTTACTTTACGTTTTAACCGCATATCGTCTGAACTCAATAATGAAAACATAGAGGGTTCTTTGGGTCTGGTCGTTGTAGAAGAAGTACTTTCGAAAAATCTTCCGATTTTAAGTTTTTTCATAAAAGAAAATGTTCTGTGTTGCTGATAGCAACTGGCTAAATCAAATTCTCCAACAGCATCGCTTGATAGAATACAGTCAAAAACCTTTAAGAACCAGATGATATGTCAGTTCGTTGTGTTGTTAAACATTGATTTTGTGTTTTTAGATAGTTTTAGTTTAGAATACTATAATGGATTACGAAACCTATAATTCAATCTAAGGTCGCATTCTGACAGAATAAAGCTTATGTCAACTGAAGCTCTGAGGTAGTGCACAATTTGCATTCGCCGCGAACTCCTTTAGCTCTAATTGTTTTCCCAGATATCTTAGGTATTTAGGGTATCTGGGGTATCTTAGGTATCTTAGGAATTTTGGTTCCGTGCAACTACTTTTCGAACTCACTCTCATCCTCGCCTCTCCCTCCTCGTACCGCATACCAATAACCCTGTACATGTGTCTGGTACATATATATAGAATATAATTAGCTGCAAACTGAAAATGTGACTACTATATTTGAGTTCGCAGCGAACTGATATTCTACATAGTATGGAAACTCTAGTAATATGTTTTTTTAATTAAAAAATCTAGATGTTTGCTTGTTGCTGTAGATAAACAGATACTATTGCTAGGAAATGAACAGTGTAGTCCGCTTTGTCTTGGTAAACTATTCACCCTTGAATTTCAAAATAAACGATGAATTCAATTTTTTTTTCGAATGATGCGTTACTTGGACAGACGAATAAAATGTCTTGAAAATAGAGAACTATTTATATTCACTATTCATATTAGTATAAATACATGAAAATAGCTATGTAAAAGACACGTAAAATAACAGTTATTTGTTAGCCTAACCGACACCTTGTAACGCCATCGAACAGTTGATCGAGTGAGATCATAACATGCAGAAATTGTTCCCGATCTTGTGTTGTTGCGTCTAGAAGAGAGAAGAAAATAATCTATTAATTCAAAGTTTCAGACTTCAATTTTTTCGAAATGACCTCAGTAATAACCGTTTCTTCAGACGACAGCGATGAGAAACAACGATTTGTTTCATATGCTCATTATGTTAATATGTCAGTTTATTCATGAACCGGATCGTCGGTTTTTTATTTCTTTGATTCTTTATTTCTTGTTCTTGTGTAATTGTTGATATCGGTTGTAACCTCGAAAAAAATGTTTAGTTTCGATCAGACTGACCCAAGCTTTTCGAACTTCATAATTAGGTGCGATGTGTAATAATCAGATGAAATGACTTCTGGCATATTCAAAGCTACCCAGTCAACAACCTTTTTAATTATAAACGGATCTACCACATTCGTTCGCTGTGATGAATAAATTAATGGATTTGATAAATTTTTTATAAAATTTGGTAAAACTGTAATATAATTTGTTGATTGGTCCATTGGAAAGCCCGCATTGTGGATCATTTCCACCACATATAAACTTAGTCGGAATTTTTGTGTTATTTACTTTTAAACGAAAGTAGAATATTGGCACTTCCCATAACGTCAAATTTAGATTGAAATTTAATAATAATGATATATTTTTAGCATATGGGCCAGGTACAAATAGGACTTTATTATTAGCAATTATTGAACCACGATTGGTGATTATTCTTGTAAATGTGTAATTCAAAGTCGAATTATCTACAGACAAAAACTATTCATTTTCACGAATAGTAATATGTTTAGTTTGTATTATAATTTGATAAAGAGCTTTCATCAACGTTGTAACATTAATAAAACCAGATTTGTTATGAAATAAACCTTCATATTGTTGTTGAAATGTAAATGAGGAAAATCTTTGTTTTAATTCACTATTATTCATTCGTAAACAATCCATTTGTAATTGCTGACATGTTTTCTCAATTGATGCTAAATCACCTTCAACTGTATTCTGACCTGCAATAAAATCACCATAAAATAAATAATCATTTTCTGAATTTAATATTGAACCGTAGGATAGATTGGCCATATTTTCTAATTGACGCCATAATGAAAAAGATAAATTAGCTAATTCAGCTAAATATGGTTCATTATACATCTGTCTAAACTGCCGTACATCAAATGCACCGGAGCTACCTTGTGACTCACCTATTTGGTATTGTTCTAGTATAACTATACGCAATGTTGGCTGTTTTAACCAAAGACTAACAGCCGTTGTTAAACCGATGGGTCCCCCACCAATAATTACAACATCAAATGTTTCTTCTTGAATAACTAATGCAGTACGTACTGCTGATAGTAAAGACTCTTCTATCCATCCATGCAATGTACTTGTATGTTCACCCATAAAATGCACATTGAAAACAGATGCTTGTAAATTATCAAAAATATCACTTTCTTGTAACGGTGTAAACAAAGCAAATGCTCCATGCGTATATTCATCATCACACCAATGTTTAATTTTGCCACCTTGAAAATATTTTTGTATTTCAAATGATAAACGATGTATTTCCATGATTTGTTTTAATGCTAAATCTATTGCATTTTGTTCCGATACTGATTGCCATAGCATTGAATCTTGTGACCATGTATAGGAAGCGATTATTGCACCACCACCATCTTGTTCAATTGATTGATCATTAAAATTATAATAATAGATAAAACGTATGGGTAAATCGGTTATTGAACATCCACCATGTATATTTTTGTTATGTAACCATCATGAATAATTAAAAAATAAAATAATTTTTGATGCACAATCATAATGTAATTGTCTCATTGAACGATATTTATCTAGAAAATCTTCTCGTTCATTAAATGCAATTAATTGAGACGATTTAGCTGTTGTAGAAACAATAACAGAGCCATAAACTTCACTTGTATTCGCTTTCCATGTCACAGTAATACTACTTGTTGTTGCCTGATCATATAATTGCAGTTTTGTTATCTCTGTGTTATAGACTATTGAACAACGTTTATTTTCAATTAATAAACATTCTGACTTTAATGATTCAATCAATAAATCATTACCACCTTGAATATGATAAAATAGTGTATCATCATTAATCATTAATCTATCACGTATACCTTCTAGTACTGAAATAAATAAATTTGTTTCGAAATTTAACATTAAAGCCATATAATCAATAGCTGCACGAGATAAACCAATTTCGTTTAAATACGAATCTAAACTATATTTATCCCATTTATTTTCAACAGCCGACCAATCTTCCGTTTCAAATGTATTCAATATGGACTTCATAGCTTCATTCCACAATTCATCAGGATTCTAAAACAGCAAAATATGATATGATCAGAAGACATTTCAGAATTAAATACGATAATATTGATGAACCAATTTTGGGTTATTCGGTATTAAATTAAATAAACTTCAATTTTGTCAATTAAATTTGTCACGTTACATCTCACAGTGATAATCAAATGTATAATTGATTCATTTAGTGTATTTTTCTAGTCAATCGAGATTGGTGCAGTTCCACGCAAATGCCACCGGGTGGTACATGGCTGAAACCCGCCAAGTTCTCACTATACTAATTGTGTAGGCCGTGTCGAATTATGTAGGAATTCATATCTATCGAAAAAACATTTAGCTCTTTTTGAGCGTGAGCGATGACAGAGCTGTTATGTCAATGCCAGTTAAAGAAAGATAATGTCTCGTGAACATAATACATATTGAGCGTGTACAATTTCTATTATCTAGAAACTTTTTTATACTTTATATATATTTTCAATAGCAAATAATTAATTCATCAAATTTAGTTGAAGCGGTGCAATGGAGAGATGAATGGAAAAATTAATTGAGGCCATTTTTTTAACATATAACTTTTAGAGCACTATCGACTGATGTATTCAGAAGAATTTTAAAATACCTAGGAAAACAAAAATTGGGGCGAAAGTTTGCAAGATTTTTGATAAAAGCCGTCTTTTCCAACCTTTTCGGTCGAAAAAGACTACATATTTTTTCGAAGTAGAGATGAATTCCTACATAATTTGATACAGCCTACACAACTAGTATAGTGAGAACTTAGCGGGTTTCAATCAAGTATAACCCGATAGCATCTGCGTGGAACTGCACCATTCTGAGTTGACTAGAAAAATACACTGAATGAATTAACTCTACATTTGATCATCATTTTGAGATGTGACTTAACGGATTTAGTTTGATTGAAGCTTGATTTATTTACTTTACGTTTTAACCGCATATCGTCTGAACTCAATAATGAAAACATAGAGGGTTCTTTGGGTCTGGTCGTTGTAGAAGAAGTACTTTCGAAAAATCTTCCGATTTTAAGTTTTTTCATAAAAGAAAATGTTCTGTGTTGCTGATAGCAACTGGCTAAATCAAATTCTCCAACAGCATCGCTTGATAGAATACAGTCAAAAACCTTTAAGAACCAGATGATATGTCAGTTCGTTGTGTTGTTAAACATTGATTTTGTGTTTTTAGATAGTTTTAGTTTAGAATACTATAATGGATTACGAAACCTATAATTCAATCTAAGGTCGCATTCTGACAGAATAAAGCTTATGTCAACTGAAGCTCTGAGGTAGTGCACAATTTGCATTCGCCGCGAACTCCTTTAGCTCTAATTGTTTTCCCAGATATCTTAGGTATTTAGGGTATCTGGGGTATCTTAGGTATCTTAGGAATTTTGGTTCCGTGCAACTACTTTTCGAACTCACTCTCATCCTCGCCTCTCCCTCCTCGTACCGCATACCAATAACCCTGTACATGTGTCTGGTACATATATATAGAATATAATTAGCTGCAAACTGAAAATGTGACTACTATATTTGAGTTCGCAGCGAACTGATATTCTACATAGTATGGAAACTCTAGTAATATGTTTTTTTAATTAAAAAATCTAGATGTTTGCTTGTTGCTGTAGATAAACAGATACTATTGCTAGGAAATGAACAGTGTAGTCCGCTTTGTCTTGGTAAACTATTCACCCTTGAATTTCAAAATAAACGATGAATTCAATTTTTTTTTCGAATGATGCGTTACTTGGACAGACGAATAAAATGTCTTGAAAATAGAGAACTATTTATATTCACTATTCATATTAGTATAAATACATGAAAATAGCTATGTAAAAGACACGTAAAATAACAGTTATTTGTTAGCCTAACCGACACCTTGTAACGCCATCGAACAGTTGATCGAGTGAGATCATAACATGCAGAAATTGTTCCCGATCTTGTGTTGTTGCGTCTAGAAGAGAGAAGAAAATAATCTATTAATTCAAAGTTTCAGACTTCAATTTTTTCGAAATGACCTCAGTAATAACCGTTTCTTCAGACGACAGCGATGAGAAACAACGATTTGTTTCATATGCTCATTATGTTAATATGTCAGTTTATTCATGAACCGGATCGTCGGTTTTTTATTTCTTTGATTCTTTATTTCTTGTTCTTGTGTAATTGTTGATATCGGTTGTAACCTCGAAAAAAATGTTTAGTTTCGATCAGACTGACCCAAGCTTTTCGAACTTCATAATTAGGTGCGATGTGACATATTATATTTATATTTATCTCTTTTCTATTCATGTTTTATACCTTTCATGGAAAAGAAAGAATATTCATGCAATGTCATTAGCAGTGTATCATTTTGATTTAAAACCTTTCCATTCAAAACATTATCTAATGATCATGTGTACCATCTGGTCAATTTATTGAGATAGAAAATGATAACATTTAAATATAAGTCATATTTTGCAATAGTTTTCTTTCACATTTCAGCTATGGAATTTGTTTTAAAAATTTTATTTGTTTTTCTATTTTTAATTTCATCCGGTTTAACGTCAAATAACTGGATTGATTTTGAGGCAACAGAAATTTATCACAAATATGATTTAAAAGACTGTGTGTTTCCGTTTATCTTCAACGGTACAACGTACCACAATTGTACAACAGATGGTGATAATTCTCCACGCCCCTGGTGTTCATTGCACGCAAACTATATTGGCGCATATAAATTATGTTATGATCAATGGAATTCGGAGTTAAAATGTGTATTTCCATTCACATTAAATGATGTCGAACATAAACAGTGTGTTGTTCTCACAAAACGTAAAGGATATGTTTATAAACAATGTAGAACAAATTCTAACTTTACCAGGTATCGTTATTGTATTGAAGAGTATGTTTCAAAATCTACAAGGCCATTAGTACATTCTGACAACTGTGAACAAAAGTACAAAAATATTTCTAGAGATCATGCAAAATGGTAAGTGATTTTTGACTTATCTAGGATCAGATGTTAAATTGAAAATGGTACTGATAAAAAAGTTAAATGAAAAGTTGTTAAAAAAAAGTTTAAAAAAATTAAATGAGGGGTAGTCTGAGGCAAAAAAGATGACTTTGTAGTTTTTCGTTTAAGTTTTGATATTTGCCAAAGACATTTATTTGAACTTCGAGCTGAGGTTCTAGTAGTCAATGGCTTTATCAGTGAAAATGAAGTGAGTGCAGTTCGACCAGTAATGATCTTATAAAAAGAGATTAATCTAAAGTATTTCCTCCGATTCTCTAAATCTGGTAGTTTTAAGTTTATTAATAAGTGTCAGACTGTTCGCAGAGAAGTTATTAGCGATCATTCGTGCAGCTACTTTATGTAAGCTTAACTTACACTCTTGATTGGTAGAGAAACTCGTACGTGAACATGGAAATCTTAATGATTGAGTACTGTTGGGATAAATCATTGAAAGATCAGAATTCTGGGTAAAATGTTTGAGTTTCGTTTTCTCATTGTCAATAGTACAATACCAAGCATTTTTTTAATAATTCAACTGTTTCATATATAGAGAATCTTATTGCAGAAACAGAAAAAGCGTTTTTTCCCAGTAGAATCACATAGCTAACAAAGAAACTCTCATCACTTGTACGTTTTAAGTTCATTCTCACCGTTTACCAATCTGTTGTCTTATTGAATTCTATAATATTTTTTGAAATTTTTCTCCAAACAAATCATTAGTTATATTACGCATATTTTTTGTAGTATGGGTCCGTCTGAGTTTGCCATTCAACGTGTTATGTCATCTGGTATGATACAAGAACTTGTCGATATACATAATAAACATCGTTCAGCTGTTGAAGCACAGTGGACAATCAGGCGGACATTTGGGGAAAAATCGAAAGCGAGATTTTTCAAGATTTAAATAGTGTCATATATACACTATTAAACGGCCGATTTAACGGCGAAAAAATTTTGATCCAAATGC